TGATGATGATGATGATGATGATGATGATGATGATGATGATGATGATGATGCTGATGATGATGATGATGATGATGATGATGATGATGATGATGATGATGACTGGACCCCGCCAGAATAGCCCTTTTCCTTTGGAAACGTCCTCTCTAAGAAGATAAAAGCTTTGCGCCGTCTCAATTCCGGAGTCTTTTCAGCACAAATAAAGTAAAAGTTGAATGGCGGGAGGAGGTGCTGTACAAACTTACCTGCTGTGTCGCACATACTGAGTAGAGCTCAATTGTAGTTATCGCTTGGATCAAAGAAATTCCCACCATGCGCGTATCGATTGTGTGTACGAAATCGACAAGCCAATAGGAAATTCAGCAGATATGCCTTGAGTGATGTCTTGGTAATTTGAATGTCCTTAGTTGGATGGGGACAAAAATCTAGAATAAGATTGGTATCTTAGCGTTTCGCACACTATAGTCGACGGAACGCCGGAAACCAGAGGAATATGATTATAGAGTCGGGTTAGATCCAATCTGAATCACGCTTCTGGCGCCTTAATCTCTCCTATGGGACGGGTGAAGGTGAAGTGTAAATTGTACAGCTTATACTCACTCAGCATGACAGCTTAAATAATAATAATAAGAGTAATAGTAATCGTTCAGCTCTGACGCATTTTCGGTGCATAGTTGCCATGCCGCCAGAAGGAAGCACAGGGGATGAGATACCGCCAGGTTGCCCAGGTCCAGAAGCACCTGTCTTCCCTTCAGTAAGTTCGTACCATGATTACTGGTCTAGATATCACATTCGACTCGCACACTATCAGGAAGGTCAGATTCCTGAAATTAACCCCTGAATACCCGAAATCTACCGAGACCCTCAGCTTTACCAGATGTTGGCCATACAAACAACGCCCCCTCACAGCCTCGTACCAAAGCCAGACAGCGTGAGTCAGCTTTGGATCAAGGTCAGACAACCCCCCTCTATATGCAGTGCATCACAGCTTTGTATGGAAGTCAGACAATGTGAGTCAGCCTTGGACCAAGTTCAGACAGTGTCTCTCCAATAAAATAGCTTGAGGCCGTTGTATCTTCACACTCATGCTCTCACACTCGTTTGCTCGGAATGAAGCTGCTGTGTTCCCTTCGATGAGTCTTTCTCCGGCACTAGGCACTGGAGCGCGGTCAGCAGTCAAATACAACAGATTGGCGAATCAGCAGATATAACACGCACACCCTGAATTGCTTGACAGTTGAACGCCAATATGACAGACTCTGCCAAATGCGCGTTAGGAAGACTTTTTATGGTCAACGATTACACCCGGTTATTTTGACCACTAGATCCAGATTAGAGCTATGAAGTTTATCGTCATCCAGCTGTAGCCAGTTCAGCCGTATGCTAGTACTAAGTGCAGTCCAGATGTCAAATGGAGCTTCCTGTGTATCAACGGCATGCAGCATTGTCATCCGCTCAGTTCGATTTCACGTTGTCAACACAGCACAAAAATGGAAATACTGGTATTCCAAAGCGGTCAGTTCTGCAACATAAAATAATAAGTAATAAATCGCCTAGCTGTAAGACCCTGTCGGTGCCTATTTGTCATTCCGCTCGAAGGAACCACAAGGACTGAGATACTGCCAAGGTTGCCCAACCTAGACAGAGGCAGCGGAGATACAGAAGTTCGGTTCAGTAAGAGTCTAATAGGAATCATGCCGCTAACAATCAAAGAAAAACTTATGGAAGAACCGGTAAAATTTCACTGTGAAACTAACAATTCACACATCTCATTTGCAACATGTACACCCACTCAAGACGACTGGGCTGTGATACATTACTATTGTTGTTTCTTATGCGAGTATATATCATATATTATATTAAACTTGTAATAATTATATGGTACTATTTTGAAACACCTACTCTAGACACAACTTTCCAAGACTCGTTGCATACGGGATATTTCACTGATGCTTATATTTGCCTGGTCCAAAATGCTGCGCACAATTCGGCTTGTACAAAAGCCTACACCGAGAACAATTAGCCGACATTTTCTCAGATCGTCTGAATTACCTTCTCAAACTCGCCCACAAAGTTTCCATGATCTAAGTATACTGTTCTACCTATCTTGATGGAAATGGCCTATGTGAGTTGATTCCAAGTAGGCCAGTGACCCTTTCTTTCTTTCTTTCTTTCATTCTGATTCACTGGTTTTTGAATGCTTCGTCCAGTAATTTGTATAGTTTTTGCTTGAAACCGAACAGTATTGACTGACTCATCTCCGTCAGCTATGAAATTACATGGTTCTACCGCAGGTTCCTGTATAAAAAGACCAGTGCGAATAGCACTCATACACTAATGCTAGCATCTACGAAACCCATCCGTCCGAAAGTATAGTGCCATAGTTCTGACACTAGCAAACCTACTCAAAGACCCCCTACGAGGCTTCAATGTGGCCCGAAATCCACCCGTGCAGACTTCGCCTATTCAGCTTGCATCTACCTCATTGTTTCACCAGAAATCCCGAATGCGACTTTTCGTCACCGGCGGCAACTTCTCGGTGGCTATATTGGACCGACTTTCAGTCCCATTGCAACCGTAGCCGCTCCACACATACATGCATACAGCATTACTAACTGTAATTGTTCATCTAGCGTAAAAAAAGCCGGCTTATATTGGATGCGCGTCACTGGAGCTAGAGATTTTTCCACTTGCACCCTCGTATAAAGTTTGAGCTACGGGTGTAGCTACCTCAATTTGGTTCGAGGTACTGACGCATCGATTGCGTCACGCGTATTCTATCACCTGTCTAAACAACACGGGGAACGAGTCCGTTCAGCACTGCCCAGTTGCGCAGGCGACAAGCTATCCGGAGGACGCTAGCTATAGCTCAATCGAATTTCATCGACGTTAATGTCTTATCCGTTTTGTTCTATACCCTCACCAATGACTTACAAGTGACTTACCTTTGGGAACAAAGCGGTGGGGCGAGATGGCCCAAGTGCTTAGAGCGCAAATTTACTGATAGGAAGGTCTGTGGTTCGAGCCCGACCTCTGTCTCTCGACTTCCTCTGTCTAGGCTTGGGCAACCTGGCAGTATCCCAGCCCTTGTGCAACCTTCGGGTGGCATGGCAGTTGGGCACCGAAAGGGTGCTACAGCTGAACATCTTACCTTTTACCTTTACGAAGCGGTGTAGAAAATGAATCATGTGCTAATTTCGTCGTCATGTTTCTAGCATGTGCTGTGTTCTGTTGTATCACACTTTCTCCGGACCGGGGTGACCGAGTGGATAAGATCGTGGGCCACCATTTCAACGGTTCCGTACGCCTTGAAACAAACTTTGGGGCCCGTCTAGTTACTATGTACACGGACTATTTCAGAAATAAAGACATAAAAATGTGCCTATCCTGACGGGACATCTGAATTCAGAAAGCCCAAGGGTAGATTACTGAGGCTTTGCCAGTGATGAAAACTCAATAGATTGGTAAATAGGACCGGATGGAATTCACCAAGGAACAAGACAGGTATTTTAAGTGAATCTACTTACCTTCTAGGTACCTTATGATCTTACACGAGGTTTGGAGCCAGCATACTGTATGCAGTTGGTATTCAATAAGTGCTAGGCAGCAGGAATAAATGGATGAGGTTAGTAGATGATGATATCTCCTCTTACTGTGGCGAAACATCTAGCGTTCAATAGCCAAGGTCGGCCAACAGACCAACGGTCACCTGAACAACAGCCAGTGGTTGCTCTGTGCTACACCACCACTCTCACTTCACTCTCACCCGGGTTGTTCGTACGATTGTCAAAACAGTGTAATGAACGTAGCGAACGTCTAAAACAGGTAAGAGGCGGTCTACGACACATATTCGAGGTGTATATCGCAGCAACGGTCCAAAGGTTCAAAGGCTTTTTACGTGCAACACCGACATCTGTCCTCCGGCGCACCCATATGTTCAGTTAAGCCCCGCAATCGCTTACGGCCAGTGCTCGGTTTGGCTTCCAACGAGCCAGCAACCCGTTTCTCGACCAAATACTGCGCGTCAAGCTTATCCGGTCAAGCGGTTTGTGCGTAAGGTTCCACCCAATAGAATTTTCATAGAAATTTTCGGGGACAAAAATGCGCTCTAATAACCCCGTGAGAAGAGAAAAGCTTCAGCTCACCAGTCCCGAATCAAATCCAAGAATCAATGAAAGGTGTATGGTATGAACAGGTTGAGACGTCTCAGTCTTCTCAAGACTCACAGCCTATTGGTATTTGCTTCCAACCATTCTTTCTAGTCACACACATGATCACGAGAACTGTGTTGTAAATTGCTGACTCGACGCAATTATTTTTTTTAAACACACCAACCAGAAAGTCCGTTTTGCACCTTTCTCTACACGGAGTGGATTATCATGCCCAGCGGCCAACAGCTTTTGTTAGAGTTCCTGAATTCCACTGCTTCCTTTACCCTTTTGTTCGTTCGCCGTCCAGAAGTGGTTCAGCGCGCCGTCGTAAAATTAGCTTAGAGATTATGGTAACTTATGAAGGGAAATGATACACGGGCTCATTTCCAGTGGTTGTGATCTTAGTTCCCCACTATTCTGGTTCTCCGATTACGGTACGTCTGACTAAGAGGATCCTGAATAGTACGTGGTTGGAATCAGTTTTTAGGCTGAGATAGTCCGAAGGCAACATTTATTAGCTTTTCGTTGCAATCTACAGCTAACTTCTGGATATAACTTCATCCCAATAAGCTGGTTATGATACACGGGCATCCACTATTCCTTATAAATATTGATTTATGGAGACCACTACTACGAATGTAACTATAATGGAGCACAGATTGGTGCGATTTATGTGTCTGAAAGTTCTAGTGATGACCTTGTTTTCCTATAACAAGTGAGCTCAGTTGTCGATTTTGGAATGCATCGTGGTCGTACAACGGCTGCTAGTTCCGTTGTGCACCGTATTTGTCGTACCGTTCGGTTGCAATTATCTTTAACCTCCTATTGCATATATGTCCATTTTTCAGGATCCGTTCGAAAAAACGTCCAAAAACACCACCGACCAATTTGGAAATTCGAGATGTACAAGAAATGGATATTCCGAATGACATGGTATCTCTAAATCAGCGGTTTCACGACAAAACCACGCAGGAAAAGTTTCTAATTCCATCCGAACTGAGAACTGGTGACCACTTCGATAACTTTACCAAGGTGGTACAGTCAGATCCCATTGTTATAGAGGATGATGAGGACATTGGTGGTCATACTACTGAACGTCGCATATCTGGCACGAAATCTCCTTCAAGTAGTCTTCAACTAACGTCTACCTCTGTGACCAGTTCAATCACATCTTCGCTTTCGTCTATACACATGACGGTTTCATGTGCTTCCACCGGACCAACAATTGCTCGTGTTACCTCACTCTGCCAACCCAATATTCAGGTTTCCCAGGCAAGTTATATTTTTGCGTTAAAGACACGACCTACACCCATTGTGCTTGTTTTTAACTGACTTCTGGTTTGATTTGGGCAGGTGACTGGGTGACACATTACTTCGAGGAGAAATTGTTTTTATTACTCCCAAGCAGACTGCATCCATGAGGGTGATTTTCCTCATTTTTCTCCGTTTGTTTTTGGGAATAAGACAAATGTAACTACTGGTCCGACCATTTTGTGTGCATTGAATATGTTGGATGGTCTGGTGACGTCAAGAATGTAGGAACTTGAATACCCAGAAAGTACCACATTCACTTTTAATAAGTCGCCATCAAACGCTAAACTCCATGTGTAATTCTGCTGTAACATACGGAAATGCGAAGACAAAAACATCATCATCGTCATCAGAGACAGCAGAATCAGTGTTGACACTGATGCTTCACTGCCTTGGAGTGAAAAGGAGAGAAAAGGAATGGGTGAAGAAGGGAACCTAGCGCTGGCCTATGTCAAGTATTCCGAGGTGCTTACCCTCCAATTACTCAATCAGACAATCTGGAAACAACTGATAGCACGGGCGTTAATGAAGTCGATCAACCGCCATTTCCTGTGCTGTCTCCAACCAAACACAGACTAGGTCACGGAGACCCCATCCGGGAAGGTGTAATCTCTTTCACACCCTTCTGCCAAGTCACCTCGGGGTTTGCACCATTCTAAAAGAGGCAGGGTAAACAACACTTCTCGTTGAACATGACCAAGCCACCTCAGATGATGATGCTGGAAATACCTGCCGCACAACCAAATACCCGTTTTCTAGTCACCTCGTTACTAGTCCTCTGACGCCATCCAAAACCAGCAATGCTCCTGAGGCATCCGTGGTAAAAAAAAACCTGGAGACATCTGTCCGCAGAGGCCATGTTTCACAACCATACAACAATACAACCCTTAATGTTGCCTGATACACCCAACTCTCAAGGCCAGCTTTTTGACGACAGTGACGCAAATTAGCAAACGTGATTCGGACAGGCGTCCGCGGAATCGTTTCTGCTAGTTTCGTTTGATTTCTGAGTTCACTAACTTCTCAATGGCAAAGCGAGGTATGAGCGCTTTGCGTAGGCCTTAAAAGCGCAATGGAAAGCAGCAGCGTACAAGTGCATGGTCGGAGTCCACGATAGTGTTCCAGAGGGAGCGACAGGCAGTGATTGACCTTCGCCACCGATGGCTGACGGCGATGGGGTCTACTTGGACTCAGGGAGGGTTTGTTGGTGGGTACCACGTTGTCAAGCGATTTTCGCTGTTCCGAAATTTGGTACTGCAAAGGAGCATTCCAAAACGGGTACGCATCTGACGAAGGGGATCTTCGTTGCCTATGCGTCTCGTGTCCAATCCAAGACAACCGCCTAGTCGGGCCTCATCAGTGCTCAGGCTACCTACCTGGGTGTTCATGTCATGTACAACTATATCTGAGCTTTTAGATCGCTGTAAAAAAGCACCTAAATGTCATGGAAACTGTCTTTGGTAGACTGAGAGCTACAATCGGTAAGCAGACGCAATAAACAGGGTGCGCTGGACCTCAATAAAGGCCTCACTGGGGTGAGATAGCTCAGTGGCTAGAGCGCGAATTTAATAACCGGATGGTCCGTGGTTCGAACCCGGCCTCTGCCTCTCCGCTCCTCTGTTTAGGCTTGGGTAACCCGGCAGTATCCCATCCCTCGTGCTTCCTTGGTAGCATGGCACCGAAATGGTGTTACAGCTGAACTATGGACCTCATTTCATCGGAATTGTCCCACAGACGTTTCCAAGTGAACAGCGCAAAGGCGATTGTCAATGAGTATCCAGTCAAGTAGAGACGGTTCCGGTTCAATACAATACCCACCCCAGCATATCCAGCTGCAGCGGCCTCTGAATCCCCAGAGTTGCGCAGCCGGAACCTGAAAGAGAGCGAGGGGGCAGTCACTTCGCTCACAGTACTTGCGTTCTGTATCCCTGTTTCTGACAGACAGCATACATCAATGTAGAGGGAATCCAGCGTACAGGCAAGAGCCACCTATTGTCCTGCTTGTTTCAGTGTGTGAACATTGAAGGTGGCTAAGTAGACAGGCTTTCGGGGTTTGAAAACAGACTTTGAAGTTGTTTTTTGGAGTTAGACGTACAGAGGCTGCAGCTGAGTATGATTCAGGACGAGCAAAACGGTCAGTCCTAGTGCCGGGACTTGCGGAAAGGGTATCCAAATTTAGGTGGGGTAGGGTAGAGGAGGAAAAACTTGAGTGTAGGAAGAAAGACGTCAGAAGTAGCATATTTCCGCTTACCTGCCCTGCTGTATGCAGCAAGTAAGGTGACCCAGCTGATGGTACCACTCGAGGGCCGATATGGCATGAGCCCGTTCGTATCTGTTCAATTCATGTTTGTACTTGGGCTGAGATGGTGCAAGGCGCCCACACCTAGACAGGGGGACGATTAGGGTCCTCAACCGAAACATTTCGCTCAAAAGCCTGACCTCAAAGCAGTGGTGTCTGGGGGGGGTCGTATCTGTTCAATTCATGTTTGTACTTGGGCTGAGAATGGTGCAAGCGCCCACACCTAGACAGGGGGACGATTAGGGTCCTCAACCGAAACATTTCGCTCAAAAGCCTGACCTCAAAGCAGTGGTGTGGGGGGGGGGGAATGCAAGTGTATTTTAATTTTTGCGGAACAAGTCTTCAACTTGGTGGGTGATTAACATACTCCTCTTGGTGACTATCTCTCGTTGCCATGCCTGTTCCAAAAATAAGCTCTTCTGAGGACTTCTTTTAGCTTCTCCCCAGTTACTGTTATGGAAAGTTATCTGAATACTTTACTGTTGTTTGAGAACGGGATACGATCGAATGTTGCATTTTTCGCATATAATACTTCAGAGACTCTCTTCGTTAGTTTCAAATGAAGACATATCAGAACAGGTGGTGGACTGTTGTTTGGGGGACTGGGCTAGCACACGCGCCGTTCGAGCGTGATTAGTCTCGTTTGTTCAACGCTTACTGATGGCACACTTCTTGAGTGAATGATGCCCTAATCTCATGGTACAACTAAACATATACACTTTTGATACTGCGCTGTCCGAGTCCAGTTCTTTCTTCTTACCGTAATAATCGTATCAGGACGAGAAGAGGACTTTTCGGACGAGGTTGTTGTAGATACGGATAGTATATTATCGTTTTCACGATAATCGCTGTTCGAATCAACGACTTGGAAATGCGTGTTGCTGTGGCATATACTGCGCGCGAAACCGGTCGACACATTAGTAATTACTCGACAGCTGTTCAGAGCTGTGGGTCATTCGCAACTCTTTATTGAATATCGTCACCAAGCGGGCAAGCAGTTTGAATGACTGACTTTGTTTCCACCTTCACACGCACAGTAGTAACAAAAACCTGCTGCTATCACAGTTTTCACTGACCATCATAGGACCACATAGTATATGATCGAAATAACGTTGAGGTTGCAGGCATGAGACGTGTTCAAAAATATATGCTCGTGCAAATTAGCAGCGCAAACCAGGAGTCAAATCGCAAGCAGCATCTCGGCTCATTTCATCTTTTGAGGTGAGTGCATACATGGTGGCCTGAATATGTGAATGATTCGTCTTAGACATGAAGATTAAATGCTCAAAACCAGTGGGCGATCCCAACCTTCACATAAAATTAGCGGCTCCTTTACCAGGAACCTCTCAGGCCGGAAGGGCCATTTAGAATGAAACCTGTGGAAGTTCTGATCTTGATTATCTCTGTGATCTTCGTAACTGGTTTAACCTTTTTAAAAATACATTTCAGCCGTGCCTCCCTCGTCCCGCTTCGGGTCCAACGATATCATTCAACCAATGCGTTCCGATTTCAATGGTGATACCGAATTCTACGCTGGGGGTCCCTGGCTTCACCGGCCTCGGAAATACCGTATTGATCATGAAAACACAAACCGAACCCAAGTGGTTGCCTCCCACTGCGAATGAACAACCGAATTCGTCTTCAAGCGTAATGTTACCCATCCAGTCGACTGCTTGTGCATCACTTCCCACTCCCTCAACCAACAATCCTCATCCCAAATTGCCCAGCCAACCAAACACTCCTGTTTCTACGCTCCCCTCCGCTCCAATCTCTCTTAACACGTGTACTTCATTGTGGCCGGGGCAGATTCACAGATTGTTACTGAATAACCCAGACTCAGAATCCAACGGAGCCCACCAAAACAGTGATCTGGCAATAGTCTACCTTGGACATAACTGTTGGAGACCGGTCATCCTTCCCCGTGGTTTTCAAGCCGTTGGACAGCTTGGGTCATTGAGAACTCCAAATAAATCCGCAGTAGCTACCGCTCCAGATTCGGTGTCTAACCGTTAGGACCGAATCGTTGGACAGTATTCCATCCGACAGATTCTCGTCAGGCGCTTTTACATGCACAATGTATGGAATGAATATTTTGGTGATAACTTTGTACAGTTAATGGGTTACGCCTACAGGAATTTTCAAAAAAAATATTTTCAGTGATAAACACCGTTGAGCAAAAGTGACTTTCATCAGACTGCATTTCCTACATGCTATCATTCCGTGAAACATTTAGACAATAGCAAGACCGTTCCTGTATTTCCTACAATGTTTCAGACCCCGTTATTCCTGTACAATCCTTCGTGATGCTTTTTACGTTCACTGAATTTTTATTTAATTGATCACTAAAATTCACCACTCTATCCGTTTTTATCTTCGACTCTATGGGTAACTACATCTCGTTTAAACACGAATTTCGTCGCATGGCGATTGGGGTATTGGTCTGAAATGTAGCTTTCTTTTTAAGTACTCAATCCGTTTGTTTGACATTAAAGTTACACGCTATTGACTCTGCAGCTGTTCTGATAATCTTATGCATTCTGAACCTTCAGTTCTGGCTTGACTCAACGTACTCTCTGTGTTCTACTCGTCTGCTGCTCTAATTTTAGCGTTTCCAGTGGTTCATTGTTTTAATAGGTGTACATAATTGCGAAAACTCGTGAGCCACATCCGGAGCTCCATCGAATGTTACCAGAGGTTGCGGAACCTCAAAGTGTGCAGGACTGGCTAATGATGGATGTTTTTTCAGCGATCAAAGCCACTATAACCAATAATCGGGGACACACCCTCACAAAAACCCGGAAAAGTTCAAATGCGATCATCCCCATGGTTTTTCAAGCCGCAGCCAGGCAAACAAGAATGTCCGGGTGATCTGGGTACCATTGCACTCTGCTAATATCAGTAGACGATTTCCTTAATACTCCTATTAATGGTACACCTACAGGCATAAACTAGAGCAGTTGTTTTCATACGCTATTTCCTGAATGCCTCTTGCGAAATTGAGTATAATTCCGCGTGCTTCTGTATTCCATCCTTGAAACATGTTGCACAAAGGTGCTATCTAGCCAAACTAAGTAAAAAGGCAGGATATGGCTCTGAGATAACACATTGTTCAACATCGCAAAGGAATGGATCACAATGTCGGAGTGCACACTAGAATCGTCACAGAACAGGTCGATTGGAAGATCCCACTGTGCTAGGATCTTTTCGAAAACGCCAGGGATCAGTTTAAATGTGTAACTAAATCAGTCCCAAAGTGTCAACAGCATTTTAGGGTCACGATGTGAAGCTACAGTCACCTGAGTGTTGGAGCTTTCAGCATGCGGCTAGAATATCATACACCTCAGTCATCGGGACATACGATGGACGTACTGTATGGGGACACATCTTCCGCTTACATTCTACATGTGCAACTTCACCCTTCCCTTTCATGTTGGTGCTTGTGCGCCATGTTGGCTGACTGAGCCTCATAGTCAGTTAGACAAGACTATAACTCTGAGAGAATCGAGCTGAACGGTAGTGCAGCACATGTGAATTCTGATGGCATGGTGAAAGGGACAGAGCAAGGACAAATCGGTCGAACGAGTCATGCAGTTACGCTCTTTAAAGCTGGATGAATACCAGCTAATATATGAGAAATCAGAGGCCGGCAAGCAACAACGAAGCCGGAGGTAGAGGCGCTCAACCTAGTGGCTCATCCAACAAACAAAGGTACCAGACACCTCCATTTCGTTTTGTTTCATCGACTCCTCAACGGATGATGTTTTGCATATCCTTACATGTTAATTTTATTCATCCAACAACAGTCGACAGTCTCGTCTTAAAAAAGAAGGCCCAGATGTTTTTGAGTGCGCCATTCCGTCCTTTGAGATGCGCTTTGTACTCACAGTGTAGGGTCGTGTTCCTGGATATGTACGTCCCCTACAATCAGAGGAGAAGCATTCGAAGCCGTTGAACGTTTTGCTTATCTTGATGGTTGCATAAATTCCGATTTTAGAGCGACATACACGATATTGTAAGGCTCGGATCGTGTTTACTAAGTTGAGACAGACTACAGTACGGCTACATAAATGTGAGATGTGGTCTCTACGAGCAACGGAAATAAGAAGTGCTCAGGTCTTTGACAACCGTTTTCTCAGAACGACAGCTCGTGTGAGCTGGTGCTAGCAAATCCGCAAAGGTGAAATTAGTAGTTGGATGTTCAGTTGTGCAACGGGGTATTCAATCGAAGAATGTAATCAGCCCGAAAGTTGCGGTAGTTAGGTCCTCTGTTGCGTATGCTGAATCAAGGTTAGCAGAAAAATACTGTTTGTGGTCAAATCAGAGTGGCACAGGCAAAAAGGTGGTCAAACTTGGACGTGGCAGAGAGGTGTAGAAGAGGCTATGGGAAGTCTGTGTCGCCTACCAGGATGGGATCTGTGTGATCCTCCAGTGCATGGTGGGAGGTGCGGCAAGATATGGCTGCTAATCGATTTCAGTAGCAATTTTGTTATCGGTTTCTATCCATCTGAATTAATGTCTGGAGGTATATGCGAATCGAAATGATTGTGGTACGATGGCGCTATGTCCCTTCTCCACCCTTTCATTCACAATAAAACGTACAAATAAGTTATGGTTGAAACTGCTGCAGCTGGGGTTCCCTGAAGTCACTTACATATTGATAGTCTACCGCATAATGTGTGGTATGCGGCTCGAAATTCTGTCGCCAAATCCAATAAAATTGTGGCATAAGTAGTGAGCTTTTAGCAATCGTCCCAACTTCGGCTTTCTTCGACCATAGTCGTGTGGCAGTTGAGCGGCAGCCTACACTACTGCTGGTGTACTGATATCCATGCTAATTCATCAGCTACAGATATCCAAAAGTAATTTCGCCTTCAATCAATGTGTTGATCGCTTTTGAACTACAGCGCTCAAGGCATGCGAGTGAACGCACCAAAAAGTTGATTAATTTGATTAGATCAAAATTTTAGGGCGACTTACCGAATACAGCTTCTCCACAACAATGTCCCTGTAGACCTCATTAGGCAATCCACCACCATATCAATGACTACGAGGTTTGGTGCTAAGATTCAGGCTCGCAGTTGAAAAGGCTTTCGGCTGCTAATGATGGTGACCAGTCTTTCCTGTTTTCCACAGCCCAAATAGTACGATCAGAATAAAACACATTGAACGTGGCTGCATACTTTGTTCATCTTTGCAACAATCATGGTGTCTTTCTCACTCATGGGTAGTTATCGCGGGCAGCTTCAAATAGATATATAGGATTAATCTTATAAACTCAAGACAGGGTCTAAAGTTGGAACAGTTAGTGTGTGCTGGTTGGCTACACTGGTTACACCCGTAGGTAGACTCGTATCGTCAAGCACGGTGTCTGTTTCTTCAACCGGAGCCTAAGGAACAGAAACAAAAACGAACAGTCTCACTGAGGCCCAGTTAAGGTCAATGTAGCAATTTATACTTAGTCAACTAGAATGGTGCGAAAAATTGCAATATTCTAGATGCAACCAGTTTTCTGTACATGCAAGTACAGAACGAGTAAAATGCGCGAACTACACTTATTTGCAAAAACAAATTGATTTTAAAGAGAAACTCACCCTAATCCCAGCTAATTAAGCTGAATTCGGCGCACTAGGCCGCCTCATGTTTCAGTTGATACGATATTCGAGGTAACGTAATATATATATAACGTAATATATTGTGCACATGTAACACCATGCTCATAAGGTTACTAGAAAATTTTGAACAGCCCAGAACCAGTTTCACCCTTCTGGAGGATAACCAGGTGGGCGCAGTTCCGCCAGTCTTATGTTCTGCTAGAATTCAAATTGGGCAAAATTCGCCAGGTACACACAGTCATTTGGTTTTAAAGCGAGAATAAACTGAATCCCAGCTGACGCTTTTGTTTATGATATTCCTCGTCGAAGGGTTTTCAACAACCTTACGAATACTGTGTTCCATCGAGAATGTCTTGTGGTATCTTGAATATTTTGCCGACTGAAATCTGAGTCAGATTTTTCGCAGCACAAAAATCGTAGAAACGAGAGATTCAGCTGGAATTCATTCCATTCAATTGTATGTATTTCACTAACTCCACACAGTTTGCGTAGAAGTAGAGCTGGAGGTTAACCGAAACTGGGAGACTGCAGCTGACTGAGCCATGTCTCTCATACCGCAGTGCTTAAAGTTAGCTTTCAGATTAGACAACTTTCGTTCTGCATCAACCCACTTTCCATCCGCGTGAATCGACCCTCTTGGAAAAAACACATGACCACGCTTTCAATATTCTACGCAATCTTCAAATGGTGAAAACACGACATTGGCGCTGCGCTCGCACAACTAACGGCTGTGGCGTTGTTTTGACTAGGAATCCCCTAGTCAAAATAACTTTCACTTCTATGGGTAGTTATATGGTTTAAAAAACGGAGTAAAATGGTCCAAAGAGGTATAATTGTTGTCCGAGTAGATTATTATCACTTGCTGAATAGATTACTGTTTACAATACATTGGGCACGTTCAGAAACTCTTCTGGTAAGTAGCCATTTCAAGTTTCTTCCAAATAGCAAGCACTTGGACGGACGTCTGAAATCAGACGGTCTAATCGACTAACCGCGATCCAGTTCGTTAGAAGCATGGTAGCGTCGTATTTCCCAAGCATTGCACTGCTAAAACAGTGTACAGACCAAAGCTTGGGTTTGCTTACCTCTAGGATAAACATCCACTGTGTTATCTCTGGGTTCCCCTGGGGGATATGTAGGGCTTATTAATCGGATCCACTTTTAGTCCGACAAAATGCTGGAAATCAAGCCTTAGTATATAAAATACAAGAAAAACCTCCGACTCCCTCAAAGTGAACGCTGCTCGAAACGGAACTACCCAGAACATAATACCCACTTTATGCTGGGCGGCTAAACGTTTTCGCAAATTGTCTTGATTCTTCTCAATTTGTTGGTAAATTGTGTACTCAGCTTCCTGGCAGCTTCCGGTGAATCGGAGATCAAAGTATAGAAGCGTTTCATTTCTCACCATCCCATCAAGCAATCTTTGGCTAGCCGCCTGACAAAAAAAATAGATAAACAATCGAGAAATATTTGGCTAGGTTTAACGTTTTAGGTCGGAATTTTATCGAACAATAGATAGACCAAATTAAACTCTATCGTTGCAAATATGTGATGGATGTATGAACGGGAGTCTGGAAGGGCGGTTAAGTTGAGTGATGGTGGTCTAGACCAGGTGAGTCTAAGTGCCTGGACATGGTTCTTTTGAAAGCAAAGTCTCGATTGGCGGAGTTTTATGGTGACAGCCGTGGGCGCGGCAATGAAACTCATCGTACACTCTTGGAGTTCTGTGTTGGAAAACGGAATATAACTTAAAATGGTCTCTGGTTGTTCAGGTTAACAACTTTCAACGCATAGAAGTCGATCACTCTACCAGTGGTTTCCTTTGAATCCGATCAGATAGGGCCATGATGGAGTTCCATAGTCCGCTGAGATGGTCTTGCGGTTGTGTGACCAATATACCTCGTTCAAAAGTCCCAACTGAATCAGCAAATCACCATGAACGGGAAGAGGATAGGCAGACTATGTCTTGGATTAATTCTGAACGGGGTGGACGTATCACGAAAACACTGAAATCTGCCGGGTTAAATAATCTGCAAACTGAGTTAGTTCATGTTCTTCCGATAACCTCGGGTGTAACGTTGCCCTTGAATGGTAGTTAAATATAGTTTATCCCCTGAATATTGTCGAGGCCATTTCCGGCGGTAGGCCAGACGCCTCTAGGAAAATTTCGGCTTACTTATTCCGGTTTCATATCTAATGTTTACTCAAAGCGGATCTTTTGGGTCCAGTATGCTAAGCAGCTAACTGAACTTCACTGATATTGCAAATTCATAAAAATGTGGAAACTGTGGGAAAATCTGGTGAAGAGGAAAACATGAGGCCATTAGATATTCATTCCGTGCATTTATGATATACCAGAATACAGACAAGAATGAAAATTCAGTTCGGCTTATCTCAGATATGGACAGCTTATCTTGTCATAAAGTAAACAGTTGGTTGTTTTCCTTGTCAACGCAGACAGAGAAGCATATCTGTACTTTTAAGCTTTAATATACCTTTGAATTTGTTGACACGGTACATGACCTCTACTCCAAGGTGAATGGTATGGGTTCTCTTGATATTACTTCACTGTCTACAAATGTACCTTTGCTGGAAACGGTTGATTCCATTTGCTGTTGTGTACTGGATTCTCTTACGAATGTTTGCGTTCCAATGCTGTCTAGATGCACTTTTAATGCATCCAAACTAGTGTCTTCGAATAAGTAGCATTCCTCGTTACTTGTTCCCAGGACAACTGTCCAAGTCTTGTAGTTAATAGCTGTAGTCGTTTATGCTAAGTGAGAATTTTTCAGTAGCAGCCACCGGGACGAGCTGAAAAATTGCTATTTTCTGTGAGTTTTCCTGAACCGCGGGTAACGATAAACCACAGTTTGTTTCGGAAAAATATGTTGATAATAATGTTTGTTTGCTTGCTTTTTGTGTTCGTCTCACTGTACAGATTCACTCACAAGCCACAAATGACATAAGACAATAATCTGAACTCCTGGACTACATCAGTTCACAGCGGTCTGTAAGTACTACTCAGACACTCGAATGATAATATCAGTCAAATGATTTATTGGTTAGAAAGCTTCCTCAAGATGAAATTACCTGCTAATACCTTTGGTTAGCCGCAAACACAGGGGTGATCAGACATAGATTCTTCTCACATTGTCACCTTGAGAATCATCTGAAATCCTGAGAAGTGCAACGTCTTTGTGCCTGAAATTTATATCTAACAGTTTTTAATTTGAGCCACGAGCTCATGATAATATTTAGGGGGGTTCATATTCCTACTTTAAACCTCCATTAGTGGTTACTTTTTTATTTTGATTCATTCATATCACCATCAGTCTTCCGGGGACGAATACCCTGATATCGGTAAGTTCAACGGTTCCAAACATCGCACCGATCAATCCTAGACCCTCTCTAGTTCAGCAACCCATAGCGCCCCCTTCAGTTTGTATATTTCCACTTTGTCCTGCGTACGGCATGAAATCTGAGTGAGTTCTCGTTCTTTCTTCACGGTGTATCGGAAGGACTATCACTCCCGTCATTCTAAGGTACCCAGGCCGCGGCACAATGACCATTCCCATGCTGTTGAGGTGGATGCTATCAGGATTTCCAACTTTTGCCTCTATTCATAAAGGGCGTCTGTCAGTACCACTGGCCTGCCTCTGTTTGGTCCTCATGGGCCAGGCGACCTTAACTAGACTCCCAAATTAGATAATTGATCTAACCATAGGTACTCACATGCCGATACCTTAATGGCTGCACTACTGCTCATTCGCATTTCTTGTTATCTCCAGCCAACCGATGAAACACCTAAACAAATTTGCTCTCATGTATGTTCTCAGCAATCCTAACAGACCCCATAAAATAATCCAGTTGCATTGCAGCATTGTTCCTGCACACTGCTCTGTGCAATGCGACACTGACTGGAGAGGTGGATGTTTCTCTGTTTGTCCCGAAGTGGTGACGACAAGCCCCTTTGCAGAGAGCAATGCTTCCCCACTCAGCATGCAGAATTCTTGTTAGGTTTCGAATCTCATGCGAGTGAACACGTTTATTCAACTGAAAGGGTCGGCGGATGCGAGTATCCTGGGACAACAGAGCAAGCAGCCTGGTCGGTTTTGGTAACCTTCCGACTTATTCACAATGAGAGCTTAAAGCAAGCATTCCTTATCGGATTTAAGCAGAATTTCCCATGTCTTCACCGTTTGGTTTCCAGAAAAAGCCACATTTTTCGGACTGATTGACAACTGTCACTGGGATAGGTGTGGCACGAAAATCAACATACCGACTACTCTAAAATTTGGCTCAATCAGTTTAATAAACTCACGTTCACGTCCGAGCGTCCACTTTCATCGAAAAAAATCCAGGTTGAATTTATTCTACCTGGTCCTAGTTCTCCCGCCCATCAGGTTGGAACATAGTTATCACGTTATAATTGCCTATCATAGAGGATGGTATCTTTTATGTTAGTGGAGGTAGATTTATCGTCGACAGCCACATGGTACTAAGATGAGAACATCCCAGTAAAGAACAGAAAGGAAGGACGTGGATGAAGAATTGATGCGAAAATCCCCATGCTCTCATGGACGTCGAACAACAACATGGTGTCTAATTTTGCCACCAGCATTGGTCAATATCAAGTAGTCAGAACGAGGTACCACCAGCGGGCTTGATACAGCGTCATCTGCGCACGAATTCGGAATGCCATAAAAAGCAATAGTTAGTATATCAATCCTACTAGGTAGTGACAATAGGCTCACAAACGGAGCTCTGACATATATGGCTGCCACACGACCAATGACAGTCTTGCGCCATAGCTATCGCCTTCACTCGTGTAACGATGATATTACTGATGGGAGGGGCAAATGAGTAGCATATTTTCTTGTAAATCCACTTTGCGTCCCTTGAAAAGTGAGATCTATTGAGTAAGTTAGGGAGTCACTTTGGATTTGGGCGAAAGTCAGTGAATATCCAGGAAAGTTCACAAAGACGCGTTCAAAGAGAATATGGATATTCAGTTCTTGTAATCAAGATGCATATGAGGGTTTTGCTTCCCTGTCCAATAGTCTGCAATTGTCAGTTGGCATTCTCTAATAAATAACTCCGCAGCGAGTGCCTTCTTCCTTTCACTAGCAGCTCTCACTCCTTTTCATTTCGGACGAAAAAATTTCGACGTCGGTAAACTGATTGGGCAGTCGCTTCTAACGCGTGGCTTTCATCCTTTTATTCTCCCTATCCTTGGTAACCGAAGTTGTGGTAGCTAGAACCCCTGGACTGTACTGTACACGGTTGGTGAGCTGAATAAATGAATTGAAATGCCTTGTCCAAACACGTGCGAAGAGAACCGCGCGGACCTCAATCAGGAAAGAACCCATAGCACCCCACTTGTTTGTATCTGCTTTCACTTTTCGGTCACCGCGAAATTCTCACCAGCAACGGGTTCGAGTAAGAAAACAGCCCTTTCTCTGGCTTGACATATGTGTTACACTAACCTAATAGGCACTATTAGCTGTTCTAGTGATTTGAATTCGTTACCAACTAATGGCTCACGCGCCATTTGTTCGCAGACACTGCGCGCTTACTTCTTCCGGGCCTACATTGTTGGACCCCATACTTTACCCTGTGAAGCAATCTCCGGATGAGATCAAGAAGCCATTTTCATCATGATGGATGCTTTTCAGACGGATCCCTGTACTTGTTTGCAGCTGCAACCTTTCTCTTGCACTCAAAAAGTCTCCTTGATGCGGACATTCACAAAGTAAACAGGTTAAAGTTAGAAGGAAGATTACTGTATTTATGTTGCACGACAACCCATGTTTTATCCGTCCCGCATGCATGTAATTTGAGTAGTTTGACTTACCTGTCCCATTTGATTATTCGATAGGTCCAGATGAGTCAGCACTGTGTTGTAACCAACGACATGTGCAAAATGATCTCCTGATGACTCTTCTAAATCGTTTGCTGCCAGATTGAGTTCCTTCAGCGTACTATTCCTCAAAAGACTCTGAGAAAGTAAAAAAATTGCGAAGGAAAGTCCTAATAACGAAGCTACGCACGTGCTGAAATCCTGTTTCGGTGCTGCTACTCATTCGAGCCCTCTCACGTAAGTAAAATCTTTGGCTAACGAGGACGGCGAAAACTCCCAATCTTACCTTGATCGAGTTTCAGGTGGGCTCGATGACTGCTTAGCAGATAGTGGAGTTCCCTTTTTGGGTCGCATACGTAAATGAAGGCCAATATACTACTCACCATTGCAGCCCTGTTTCCCCTGAAAAAGTCCCATGGTGAACAAAGCAGTTCAGCCTTAAGAAAGAAGTACAATTCCACGTGGAGATAATTACTGATTGATGAGTGAGTGAAACCTAAAACTAAAAGCTTCAAGTACATTAATGATGTGAGCATATTGACATTTACAAGTATTCACCTTTTTTCCTAGGCTGGGCTTGCCTCGTCATTTGCCGGTTACCAGTCCACAGAACATACTATGGTCGATTTGGCAGGGCACTGGCAGGTTTACAACCGAGAGCAGCAATTTCATCTGGGATCTACGACCTCACAAAAACGATAGCTACTGAACCGATAGTTCGTGAATGACCAATGGGCAATAGTTTGGACGATTTCCAAGTATGAGAGGAACAGCCTCATCCGCTTGTTACAAGGGAGTGCGTCTCTGGTCGAAATCTGAGGAGACGCCGAGGATGTGCGGGGAACTTCCCGGGTTTTCTCTGTGTGCTGAAGAATGTCTGTGTATTCACGTGCTGCAGTGGCTAAAAAGCACTAACCAAAGTCATCACACTACACGCGGCCCTCAAGACATTATCAGGGACTTTTTTGTCTGAATTAGGCAGTATGATCTTCCCGGTTCTTTTTAGCAAAGTCCCATTCTCACTGCTTTACATATACAGCTTCGTCAGTTTGATCACAATGTAGTTTTGATTGGTACTGCAGGATATTGTTATCCGCAAACACTTTATTTTGGCCTGCCGGGTGCATGCGGTCTGCCTTCAGATGTTGAAAAAGGTCAAGGCAAACTGACATATCTTACCCACAGAGAAAACGTACAAACTACGTCACTTTTACGCCACCCTCGTTACTTTTTTCTCAGAGTATGTTCATCTACTGCTACATCTGATGTAGCTGAATATCAGGCGGGGAGTTCGGTAGGATGGTGCAGGATGATAACACAAATCGACTCGGAGTATAATCAAATAAAATTAGGTGGTGGCAGCGAGACGGGAAATCTGATATCTTCGTTCTTGGGGGCCCCTGGGTGAAACCGTCATTTCCGAGAACGCATAGTTTATTCAGGCGGAATTCGCACACCTGTTTGACGGAGAAATTAGTGACTACGCATAACATTTGTAAGATCTGTTGTTCGACATCCCTGATATAATAAAACAATTCTGAGAAGGAAATGATTTGTGCAGCAACTTCCCCTTTTTGGGTTTTCAAGCAGGTCGAGTGTAGTTAGATGCATTCATTGCTCTAATGTACGCACCTTTATCAGCTCCAGAGGTCGGGATTTTATTAGTGCCTTGTAACTCCTTGGGTTACGTAAAACGCTTCCACTTAACACTGCGTCCATAGGAAAGGAAGTTTCCAGAACGTGTGCGGTATTCCCTGACACAAATTCTATAACCTGATGGTGGGGGGAACTCCCGAAGTGGAGTTGCTGCAAATTCTCAAAGATCGATCGGTGAAACAACGGTTGGGTAAAGAGGAATTGTGGCATAGTGTTAGCTCAGCTCAAACATGAACACTGCATTATTAAATCCAAATGAAGAGCGACTACAAGAATACCGACCAGCTTAATTGGTGATCGTGACTTAAGTAGACCGGAGACAAGCCCAGAGACTATCACAGGACTGCGTCCAATTTCCATCAGTAATATCCTGGTTTTCTCGATCTGTCGAGGCTACTGAACACAGGATTCGGTGTTTTTATTAGATCAAGGGTATGTTCTTCATGCCGAGGTACTATTCTGTGGAGCCCTTAGAAACCTAGCAGTTTGATCCTACACGATGTGTTCATGCTCACCTTGGCAATCGCTACTCCGCCTTCATCTTTTAGTCTGTTCAGCCGTAAGTTCAGACGAACTAAACTGCATGACTTCTTCGCTAAGGCATGAGCTAACGAGAGACCACCGCTGGCCTGCAAGCGATTGTCAGCTAGGTTCAGCGTTTGTATTTTCGACTGACCACAAACCAGTTTGCTCAGCGCTCGCGCTCCACGATCACCAATAAAGTTGTGGGCTAGGTCTAGGCATTCCAACGTCGGATGCCGAACAAGGTGATTTGTGAGAACTCTGCAGCGCTCTGAATCAACCCGACTCCTGTAAAAAGGACATAAATATATGGTGAAAAGCGCTATTGCAATGTTAGTGACAGAAAATTTGAAAACTGTCAGAACTTTGCATAGATGAGCGACCTTTTTACATTAAGTCGGCGACTGAGTGGGAAATTTTGCAGGATCTTCGTCAAGACTATGGTGGAATAAAAACTGGCAGGGTTGTTGTTGCTCATTCCGAACAGTTTTCGTACCCAAGATATTACCGGAACACTAAATGGGGGATATTTTTGGTAGCCTGGCAGTAGTCACTTACTGATGGACTAAGTAATCTAGTGAGAATACACAATAGGATTGTGATAGTATAGTGGTTAAACGAGGAAGTCGGTCGGCCGATATGTCTTTGTGAAACTACAACGCACCTTCTAACTCGCTCCCCAGGGTAGGGATTCATCTCTTAAGGGAGTCACTTTGGCCTAGGCCTGTAAATTTTTCCACTGGATTGATGAAGAAAACATCAGCCATACTTAAGAAGAAACTTGTGCATGTGTGCAGGTGTCGTGCACTGTTCGTTGTCCGTCGTGCAAGAACTCTATTCCAGACGGGGTTTGGTAAAGGGAGTGCAGCCTGCAGTATGATCGGAGGTAGTCTGCCTCCTACAAATTCGAATATTTTACTTGATAGTCATTCAGCTGTAGTGTAGAACTAGAGTACAAATCCTGGACTTGGGCAACTTGGCAGTACCTCAAACTTCGCGACTCCTAGTTAGATGGTAGTTATTCACACGAAAGGCCACCACGACTGAACCACTATTACTATTTTTCTTTTTGCACACAATATGGCTCACTGCTCCTTGTGTCTTCATTGGATGTTCACATGTACTTGCCTATGGCTGATCCGCCATTTGACTGGGTCTGCGAAGCTGGGGATCGATCGATCAGTTTTCATTGAAGTGTTCACTAAAAAACGAATGGTGCCAATCGTGACCAAGACCCAAGTTCTCTTTCATTTGTGTGCACTGGAAGGCTCTGTTGATTGGCTAAAGAACAGTCTCTCGAGTTCATATCGCTATTGGTCAATAGTTTTGTCAGATTTTGAAGCCCTGATCATGCTTTAGGTTGTGTTTTACCCGATGTTTCAATATCAGATTGATTTCAAACAAAAAGTTATCCCTTCACCTAAACCCTGGTATGTATGGATAAGTTGTCCCAACAAGGACCATTGTATTAAGCGATTTAGGCCAGAGACCATGTGTGTTCAAAGTTCACAGGTTTGCCAGGGTTAGGGTTAACCGGAACACGTAACCGTTTGGCCACGAGCAGCTGATCAGCAGTGTGATTAAATCGGAGTTAGACAGGATACAGCGCCGCTCATCCTTCAATCGCGAGATCCACATCACGTGGTCCTCACGCTACCAACAATCTATATACGTAGCTCAGTGGGTGAATATACTTCACCCGATGAAGTCGTTGCTCGAGGAACCAGTCAGCACGTGTGATCGTGTGATGTGAATCCCGTGAATGAAGGATGAGCGGCGCTATATCCTGTCTAAGTTCGAGTTATCCATACTGCTGATCAGCCGCTCGTAACCGAACGCTTGTGTTCAGTGGGCTCAATACTCTCCGGAGTTCCGTGAGATGCGCACTGCTGATGATTCCCAATAAGGATGAAACAGCTGCGCAGTGCTTCGGCTTTTCAGAATGGACTGGCTTCACTTACAGGAAGAAATCTCCACAAAAACACGTACGAATATGTTGTCTCACCAACCACAATCGGATTAAGCGATTTAGATCAGAGACCATGTATGTTCAAATTCTACGGGTTTGCCAGGGTGTGGCTCTCAAATCTGTAGATAAACCTGTCTAATTGCGAATGATCAAGTTACGTATGGTGCACATCCACTGGTCTCCTAAAAGGACCTGACAATGATCAGCATTTGACTTTTTTATCCAACTTTGAAAAACTGGATCTGTTCCTGTAACTCTCAGTCGCGTCATACCCTACATTTTATGCACTTCTGACTAGCCACAAAATCCCACGTGAACTCGTCCTCTCTGCTACATTTTGAGCAATAACAACTAAAGGAGAAAGCAAACTATTCGTAAATAAGTACGAGATCACTTTAACTTGATTTGAAAAGTTTAAAAAAAACTGTGTTCATGATTGCAATTCGGACGTCTAACACGTTTGAGTCGCTCAGTAGCAGAGATGGAGAAGTGCTTCAAAAAAGATCAGGGACTGCTTTTCAACAGGTTTTCAAGGGATCACATCCGCCATACATGCTTCAGATGAGCTGGTTAAAGGATACTCGGTTTCTGTTACTCAAATCCAAAACTGTTTTGTCCTGACAATGGTATTGCGACTCCAGTGTCGGGATTTGGCCTGATTTCCGTCCACCATGCTATACCAAATGCTCGGTAGCTTGAGGAAGCCGTTTTTGTAGAGATGAAGAGGAATTATTACGAGTGCATTTATGGAGTTATCATTGGATTTCGCACAAGGTAACACGGGAATCTTCGTGATGGTGTGAGAAGCGCCTAGCTAAAAATACTCTGTCCTGATTGGCCAACCAGTGAACACTGTTGCGTGGTTCTCTACCGGTTCGCGACACATCCTTCCAATCGACGTGATGTTCGGTTATATAGAGCGACTCGACTCTGGACATGAACTTAGGTTAACTATTGAACAACAAATCCTGTCCACTCTTATGAATCCTGTGCATTCAGCCTTTGCATGTTTGGTCCGTTAAACTTAATGCAATTTAATGGGGCCAGCGGAACGGCATTGTCTATTGAGAGTTCTAGCCGGAAGAGGCAAGTGAGGTGATCAACAAGGTTCAAACAGAGGTCGTCCTGAAAAATTAATCCACCTAGCAGAGCGAACTGAATTAGCTTGTGGATCGAACAGGTTGCAACTTTTGAAAAGGTATATGAATCAGTGAATAGCCTGATAGCACACCATACATGCCAGCAAGCTCATGACATGGCGAGCTCACACTATAATTGGATGAATAGGATAAATACCGACATCCGTGACTACTGAACCTGAGCGAATGAAGAAATTTGTAGAGATATGGGGAGCAAAAACACTGAGGAGTTTGTGTAAGTGTGCCATGAACCTACCTGGTTAGATGAAGGACCTTAATGCTGGGGTGTTGTTGTATGGCCTTGCATAAACTGAGGCAGTCGTTCGAAGTGAACTGAAACATTGACCATTCAAAATTCATCCCACAATCCTTTGCACCGTATGTCACAGCTAACTCCTCCAAATGAACCAGCTTAGCCAAAACAGGGCCGAGTTCAAGATGATCAAATTTTTGAGGTAGTGTATCTTGTTCTGAATCACTTTCATCATCTGAATGATCCTCCTGTAAAGTAACATCACACGAAATACTTTTTTGTAGATTGACTCATGTAAAATTATTGCAGTGTGGTGACTAATGTGTACCAATTGCTGACTTGTAAGAAGTTGAATTCGTCCGGGAAACCTTGTTTTAGAACAGTCAGGAAGTCACTTAGCCTTAAAATCTCATCTGTGTCAGTCTTCATGGGTTTTGTTTGTTGAATTAACCGTGCACCGCTGGCACATTGGATGAATGTGAAGCAGCACCGTGCTACGGGATACCAAAGTCCAGTCCAGCCTATTTGAAGGCAGTTAGTTTGATAGCAAAATTTTCTTCCGTCTTCTTTCATCGAAAGTGGCCACACTTGAACACCCTCTGTCTCATGTGATGGTGTGTTGTGAATATAAAGTCTTGAAAAGTCCAAGTGACCACGAGTTTATCCACCCGCATCTGTGATCTAATTGCAAAAAAACTGTGGAGCTTACATGTGCCTAACTAGTCCACAATCATCATCGTTAACATCAACGGCCAACAACAATGAATTGTGAAGGGGGGGTGAATGGTTTCGGTTTTGAAAATGGAGTACTCCTAGCTTCTTTGTATCTTACTCTGAACGGCCAGTATAACTTTTCTATGTTGCATCTCCTCCCCTTAAGTCGGTTTTAGGTGAACTTGTCTGTATTCCTGAGCACTGATCATTTTCGGCAATGACTGTCAACATCAGGGTTCCTCATTCACTGTGTGACGAAGACACGACTCCGATTCTTGTTTGCTTTAAGGCTGTGGAGTTAAGACCGCTGAAGATGGTTATAGTTATTACGTCAAATAAGCACATAAAAAGTTGCCCATATTCCAGTAATAAACTGCAAGTAACACCGGCAGTACCGATTACATACTTATTACATTCATAGGACGAAGAACTTTTCCATAAATCTTTCAGCAGGTCCTTTCAACTCTCTCATCAATCAGAAACTAGTCATAGTCTACTGACAACAAAACCCATCAGTATAAGTGCTTATTACAGTTCAGCTCAATATAGAAAAAGCGCATCAAAAAGTAACGCTCGCAATGTCATCCACGACGCTTCCCTAGCTTCTTTCCAGTTTAGGACATTCAAAGTGGAAAGAACTTAGGTGATTGCAACTAATACCGACGCTTCTATATATAAGTACACAATTATGTGGAATCAGTATCTAACATGTACAGAGGTTCTGGGAAACACGAGTGAGACAGAAACGAATCATGACAGCAATGAGGACTAACGGTCGCGCCGTTATCAAGTTCCCAGGTAATACCTGTTACGTATCAGACCGTTTCTAAATATCTGTTGGTGCAGTTTTTCTAATAAATTCCTATCTTGATAGTACCCATTTGAGATCGAACAGAATTAATTCTCGCAAATTTCAAAATTCCAAGTTTAGAAAATGCGAAATACAGAGAGTAAGACGTTAATGGTTTCACCAAAACTGGAAACATGATAGGTAAGCACAAAAAAGGGAAGTCCCTAAATCGACTGACCGAATTTCTATCTTTTGGTTGTTGTTTTAATGGAGGTAGCAGTTGCTTTATGTCCAGACGGTAAACATAGGGTGCGGCATACGTAACGCATTCTTCCAGACGTGGCGCATATGTGTAACTAGGCACGAAAGTCTCTATGGTATCTTCGAGCATTTTCTCAAAAAAAGCCCTCTTCCAAGAACCGCCATGCCGTGATAAATCGACAACTTTCCAGTGCTCCTGACAGCAGCGACACCAATATGGATCCTCTCCTATGATATGAGCAGTCACTTTGAGTGGCATATTGGGAGGCAGGGTATCCAAGAGACGCCGCTTTTGTTGCTGATCCAGGTGAGCAAGGACACTGGAATTATCTAAAGGAATCATAACAGAAATGTCACTCGTAACAAACAGTTAGTCTCTGAGGAAGTAAAACTGAACTCAGATATACTCAATTTTACACCCACGGCAACGACCGACAAATCAATCAACCAACACGGCCTTAAGTTGACCAACCTTATTGAAGCATGTTTGAATCGGTCACTTTAATTGCGTTCCCTAACTTTGTTTTGTGTCATATCACCCTCGTCTACAGGAAATAGCTGTGTGTGTGTGTGTGTGGATGTTAAGGCAATCTTGGCGCTATTCGCCTTCCAGGATGGTGTCCACGTGATCCCCCCTGTGCTCGGTTGGGGACGCTGAACATTATGGCAACTAAGAGCAGTTAATAGCATTCACGCTGTCTGAGTATCGAGATTTTCTGATTGTCTGTTGGAGATGTAGACAGCTCGACTGCTTCTTGTAAACTAGCGTTAAGTCCTCCACCTTCCCATTATAAAGCTCCACTCGAAAGCCGATATAGTTGTACGGTAGTCAAGCATCAGAGTTCTCATCTGATGTTGCTATCAATGGTGATGCCATAGTGTGTGGAGCAACACACCAAATGAATGATGAGATTAGATAAATCTGACATTCATGGCGAAAGTCTGCGTCGTTAGTGGTATGTCCGTACAGTACACTTCATTTATCCTTTTTTGTCTTCGTTTCCGTAAACAAGATCTTAGAAACGAATTAAATGGTCGTACTGTAGTAGGCCAATTATAACTGGATACTAGAATTCAGTCTGATACTACGCGAGCAACATTTACCTAAACAAAGACTACAAAGTCTGTCCTTGGGGGAGTCATACGCGAGCAACATTTACCTAAGACTACAAAGTCTGTCCTTGGGGGAGTCAAACATGGTGCCTGTTTGGGGTGGGATCGGGGGGCTACTTTAAGGAGCAGATTTGCATAAGAAGTGACCCTTAGCCTTCCTTTATTTCGTGTAGTCCTGTGTCTATACATAAATATACGCAACGTCGTTTGTGATCGGTTTTCGTGCGACAATACTGGTCTGTGATGCTTAAGAAGAGCATATTTTTCGGTAATGCCAAAGACTCTGATCAGTAGTATCAGCTTTACGGGTAGCACCCTCGTTGGTAAAAATATATACAATAAACATACATACATTAACACGGGATAGTAAGGACCCGTCTTGGAAAGTAAAAAAACATCGGCATGGCAGGGTTACCAGATAATCATGTACCAAAGCCGCCAAAGCATTAGGTCCTGATGACAACTTTCAATCTGGAAAGCGCTTAGCAGTGACGTTTTGCTGATGCGAAACTAAGTCAGCACCTTCGGTTTTTCATCTACCTTGGTGAACCGCACCTTGCTATTCAGCACAAGAAACCTGTTTTATCTTCCAAGATCTTGAATAACTGCAGTCAACAGTTATAAGCATCACTGCCTATTATGTGGTCAAGTAATCAAGAGCCTGGATCAAGATGGGTAAATGTCGTACTGGGCGAGCGTATCTATTGATCAGTACCGTGGCCAGCTAACCTATTCTCCATCGAAGGACTGTGAGATCAGGTGGGAAAGCTTCTCCAAAAGACTTATATGTTCAACGCTAATTGTAAAACACGTTAACGGTTCGAAAATCTGATGTGTCTGAGACCACAGCTGGTTGATATATACAGCACCACACCGTTTGCAGGTTAGACAATGCAAAAAAAACTACGATTTTCTAGACATTCCGAAGGTGTGTGGGTGTGTTTGAGTCAGTCTTAGAATGACTATCTAATAGATGTCGATGGGAGAGCCTCTCTGTCGTGGACTGAAATGTGCACATAAAACCGCATGCATTTAAACCTCTTACCAGTAAAATGGTGTTACATACCAGAGTAATAGTACTAGCGAGGCCCAGTAAATGTCAGTATGTCCGGTCATCACATTGATCGGACCAGAACAAGCGTTCTGTTGTTCATTTTCTACAGGGTGCCGATTATGGTAAACTAATGGTTTTCAGAATGATGCCCGGGCCAATTCTTCCTGGACAAGAACCCCTTCACTTGGACGAAACGAAAACTTATCCAGTTCCGGTTTCGATGTTACCGTATTAATACAACAATCTACAATTTTTTGGCCACCTTCGAAGCCGTTTACTCTCCTGAAAACCTAGTGTCCTTGGTCTGTTTTTGGTCTATCTGTTGGTCTGTTGGTCTACCACAATTATGCAGAATAAATGGGCAAAATTAGACACCAGATACTGGCTGCACGCAGTCCGAATACGAGTAGGTTCCTCTACTCCGGCCTACGAAAAAAAAACAACGAGACAGCCTTTCCTCGGACTTCTCAATGGATGGAGTCACTATAAATAACTGCTTCAAAAATTTCGTGGTTGCTCTGACCCCACCATAAAACAAGTGACTGTTGCGGGAACAGTGCTCGAAAAACCGTAAGGGTAAGAAAACAAAACAAACAAAACAAAACAAACGATCATGCATGAGAACGGATTCTTCTGGAACTTTTCTGATAGTCACTTGTAATTGTGTAATATAAATGAACACACCAAGCAAGCTCTTTTGCCGTCGAAAAGTTAGTCCCATAATCATGCATTAGAAGGTACGAAGATTCTCTCGGAAACATATACCAGGACAAATATGGTGCTGATATTGTGAACGGTAGGATGAATCATGTGTGCAGTGGCTGCGGTCCCCTGGCCATGTATTGCGCATGCCTGATCATCATCTGAGGAAAAGCACGCTTGTCGATGTCAGTGGCGTTCTTGTTGCCAGTTTTTATCCAAGTTGTTTGAGTAAGTGTCTGGACTTGTAACGCTTGATGTCGTTTGGTTGTAGATCCCCTAACCAGCCCTTTTCCTTGGCTTCACAGTTATACTCTGAAAAAAATTATGGCTACTAAGTGGTGTTCAGTAGTGATTCTGTGCTTCGAGGATGATAGCCCAACCTTTTCCGTGCTTAGTGCGACCGCTGCCGGTGTGGTCATATCTGTTGGATGTTAATGCACTCATTGCCTGGATATGTTACCGTCAGGCAAACGACAATGATATCAACTACAGTCACTTCTTCAAGCAACCCACTGCCCCTACAGTTTGTGAAAACTTACTGGAATAGCACTTTACAGAAGAAACTGAAAATGTGCTTGATAAAAATGCAACAATGGGATAATGCAGTTTGCTATTCCTATGAAGCCTCAATCTGTGTAACATGGAGCTCGGAGTAGGCCCGTAATATCCTGTATAAATCGTCTGGATTTTCACGGTAATCCCACCATGTTTAGTATCTCAACAGATTTATCGATTTCGTAAGGTTCAGTCCTTTATTGGGCAGTATGAAAGTAATGGCACACTGGACTGTCTGCGTATGGTGAATGTCGGCAAGAATAGATCTGCATTCACCGCTTGAAAATAATGTTGTAATTTTTGCCTTGTTGGATGCAAGATATATTCAAAAATAGTTAATTTGGGTTCGGCTTGTTCACTGTTCTACAGTAACAAGATTGATCAAGCCGGAGTGTTCTTACGGAATGTAGCCAGAGCCTTCTTTTTTTCCAAAGCAACCACAGGGTAATTTGTGAAAAGTATACGGAACGGAAGAGTGGTACTATCAAAAGATAGGCTAATGAAGTTTATTATCAACATTTAACACGACAGGTGAGCTGTAACTCAACTAGGGAGCATAGGTTTCGAGCTCCTTATAAACAAGGATTAAAAGTACTTCAAACGGCACAATCAAAGTTCGTTACTAAGCAACCTTAGTTTTTACCATTTTTAAGGTTTTAGTCAGTGTTTACAAGAAAGATTTGCGAGGACAGTTAATTTCTGGCCTAAGATTGGCCACAGGCCAAGTGAATCATAAAACCTTACTCTGTCATCGACCAAGACCACTGTTAAATTGGTGTTTGTTCTACACATGTAATCAGAACAATCACTTACAAGCAAAGTTTTCAATGCACCTTCGAAGACAAAGTTCCGAAAGGGACGTAACCGCGGCCAGGTTGAAGGTAGGATCTTCAGCTATAATCCGACGTACAAATTGAACTTCTCCACCGGGTTTGTCGGCGGGTTTGGGAACCTTGGAATTTCTCGGCGACTGCTGGAGAGCATATGTGTCAGCAAACAACGAACTAAACACTGCCGAACCAGCTTTAGTTTGATCATTTGGATCTTCCTGCTTCAAGGAAGGACGGGACAGGGTAGGAACAAAGGCTTCTCCTTCGGATATCGTATCTCTGTTCGGTAGATCCTATTGAGAAATTTCAAGATGAGTTATATTAACAAGGAATTACCATACGAAGCGAGGAGGAGATTGACGCATATATTTTAAACACGATCTGGAATATCATGAGGTACCTCGTTTCTGAAGAGGGTCAAAACAACCTAAGGTGGTCTGGGCCGAAAAGGGGTCGGAAAGTAAATGAGCCCATAACGACCCTTCCTCAGTTTGATCGCGAACCCTTACTCTGATGGGGCTTTTGCTAGCATTTTTGAAATTAATCACTTAAAACGTAATCGATCGTCCATGTTGAATAGATGAGCATTCACGTAATCAAGTGTAATCAATATAACGAAAGTACTTTGCTATATCTCGGGAATGTAATTCCACTTTAAATGTTGAAAGGACGCTCGAGAATGCAGGATGTTGCGTAGGTCTTGCAGTGGTGTTCAATGCTGATTTTGTCAATGTCATCCTCAGAAACGAAAATATCAGAGTTGACACCGATTTTTCAATTCTGTTAACACTGATGGTGAGGATAAAGATTTTAGTCATAAAAAGGGCCCAGAGACATTATGTCTGATCAGTTGAAGGATCAAGACCTATGTACGCAGAAGGCCCATGACCGGTTTCTCTTCCTGACAATCATTAGATAGATGCAGTCTTCGAGTTTCCGTCAACCTTGTGTTTCACATGAACAGCAGATTGTATGCAGCTGGCGAAGTACACTCCTTGGCACACAAGTTTGACAACAATGGGGACTCAGCTGAATCCTTCTTTTATGGGATTCTTTGTTGAAGAGTTTTCAGCATGTTTCGTCGATATAATGTACTACACATCAACCAAAACAGCAGACAGACTTTATGCAACACATTCCGTTGAAGAATGTCATAAACGAGGAATTTAGCTGGGACACACTTGAGCCTCCCATTTACTCAATATTGATTTTCAAATCAATGTGAGTTTGATGCTTGCTTGTGGATACGCTATTTTTTCGAGGGGCGTCCGGTTCTTGGAGGTCAAAAGCTCTATCTCACAATTTACAGTATGTACTGTAAACCAGTTGCAGGCGTCTAGGAACAACCAATCAGAATTTGTTGCAGCGCTCTTGAATGAATAAGAAAACGGCTTCTAAAGACGGATATTACTTATAACCCGATAAAATCAGTGACAGCGCTGAGAGCTTTTGCGTTGTTTCGCCTTTTTTGAGCTCCCGGGGTGAGCGTGGTCCCAGAATTTCCCCCAGTTATGTTTATTGGTGAATGCCTCTTTATTCTAAATGTAAGCAGTTTAGATGCGGTTGTTACATCGTAATAAACCGCCCGAGTTTCATATAGTTCCTGGTCACCTCATGTCACGTGGAATAACAAACTCCGGCAAGTAGTCAGTGAAACCTGGTTGTTTCATTGGGTGTGCACTGATATTCATTTCGCCTTCAATGACACAATTATGTACGTACCCCACATCTTCGAAAAATTAACAACAGTCACCTTTGGTCTAAAAAACAGTGAACATTTAAAAGTAACTTCCTATTAATAAGATCATAGGAAGGTGGTAAACGAATGTTACATGTCGATTTGCAGACATGCAGCGTTCAAAACTCACAGTGTCCATTTTCCTTGAAGTGGAACACAAATTTCAGTGGAGCAATGACATGTTCGACTTTAGTGTTGTGCCACTCCTACAACGTAAGAAAGAGACAGTGAAACTGATTGTATGGAAAGAAAACCAAGTCCTTCTCGGTAACGGTGATATGACTTTAGTAGAACAAGTTGACTCGTCAGTCGAGAAAAAAGGTGTGTTATCCATCATGAATGCACTCAAGTTCACTTTAAAATGTGGCAAAAGTATCGTGAAATATTGAATACCACCATATCAAAGAGTGAGACGGACAAAGGTAATAGGAGATAATCGGATGGAAAACAGCATAGTGACGGCTTAGTTATGCATTGTACAACGTTGTTGTGAAACTACTACTGCAGATATCTCAGCTCGACAAAAATTAGCGGACTCCAGAGGAAAGCTTCGAAACATGAAATCGTTCGCATTACGGTCAACAGACCACCTAAATGGCTGCAGTTTAAACATCATATTCTTTCAGTTGACCAAAATCATGGAAGAATTTACCAGTGTTCGGAGAATTATTGTGCCTTTCAGATTGCTTTGGATATCATCCAGAAGCTTAGAAGAAGATGTTACCTATACCATTTGTCACTAGGCCGTGCCTGTGGAAGAAGATACATCTTACTAAGCTCGTGGTTCACGATCGTGCTTACTCTGCTGGTAGCCCAGCGAATGTGGAATTGCGCATATTAAGCAAGTTGGGACTCCATGCATCATTGCGAGTGAGCGACGCAGTTGTGCTCAAACCAGTGTAACAACAGTATCACTTCTGCAAGCGCAAAAAGTTGAAAGAAACAATAGAGGATCACGGAATAGACGCTTTTCCAGCTCAGAAGGAGCATAAAGACACCACCTATTAAAAATTACCCTGTGTACACATAGTCCAACCTATAACTCGGGCGATATCCAGCAAATGTGTGGCAAAGTCAAAAACATGCGATAAAAGCCAAGATGTCTTCGGTGTTATTAAAAAAAGCTTTCTAATCACAACAAAGTCCGTTCTAGTAATAAAGTTCACTCTAAACGCTTCAAAACAACACTTGATATAAGTCATTGATGAAGGACCAGAGGAGAACATGAACCTTTAGATTGGTAGTAATTTTTGTGAATGTGGAAAAATGCAGACTACAAGTACATGAGTAAATTAAACTCCATAGGAAGACGCATTTGCCATCAAACGGCTCGTTTACTTCACGTTCTGCGAATGTCTGCAGACTGAGGTTCTATTTAGGATACTTGTGATGTTTTCCTGTCAAAATATTCAAATTTTGACAGTTCAAGTAAATAAAACAGCAAGTTTTGCACAGTTAACGACACAATTTCAAGGATTCCCAGGAAAGGATGCAAGAAGCGTTTACACCTACCCAGATATCAAGATAAATGATGAGCGTAACTCATGCTACGTGAAAGTAGTTGGTATTTACTGACATCTCGTTTGCTTTAAATGATAAAATGAAGTTTGTCGCGTGACTAACCATCTCTTTGTGTTGTCGCACAATGGTTACTTTGAAATTCATGGCCTAATTAGATGAAACATATTGTGTGAGCAGGTCGTCAAACCGAAGAAACCTAATCAGTTGTTGTATTTCCCTTTTACGTTCAGGTGTATGAATGCAGAATATTTTGCGGTCAAGAGTTAGGGCACTAATGCTACTTCATCAAGCAGTAAAAGGCTTCAAAGGTCGGTTCCAGTAAGTGTTCTGCCTGCGCGTTGGTACATACTTCTAATAATGTTGATCATTAGTATGATCTTCTGCCCTCTATCTTGTTAAAAATATTCCAAGAGGCTGTCCTGTCCCCGTCTGATGGGGACTGCGCTACCCCCTTAGATCTCCAGCCAGTATCGTCCGGCTTTACTCCAACCATCGACAGGATCGATTTACATAGATCTTAAGGAATTTAAATTTCCATGCAAATTCCTAGGGAACAAGGTTTTCTATGAGCAGTAGGCCATCATATCTCATATATGTCACCTCCTGGAGTGTCAGCTATCCGTTGGATCAAAGACAGTGGTAAATCACTTCGTTGAAGTGGGCGACAGGTATGATGGAATACACCGGGAGCTTTACTGAAACTCCGTGAATAGGGCACACACTTTGTGACCACTACTGACTTTCGAGTTCAAGAGCCGCTCTCGTTTGAATGGTCGTCTTCCCGTTCTGCTGTAATTATTCCAGTGGGTCCACACCAAGGGGAAGCACTGGACTCCAGTTCCGCTCTTATTAGAGCTCGTCAGCAGTACATATCCAAAAACCGCGCCGAGATTTGAACTGCGGACATCTAACATGTTTGTGCAAAAAGAGCCCTTGGAGGAAATCAATCGACTGATACGCGTAGCACTTTGCCAAGCCAGCGCAACCTACGCACTGTGATCAGTTCATCTATCGAGGGTGAGTTATTTCTCCCGAATACCATTCGACAAACTTCAGCATTGCTGATCCGGTGTTTCCACCAGAATGGGGCAATGCTGCGGAGATATCGATGATCAAACACTGGAAATCTTCTGACGTCCTCGGTGCGCAGCGGCCAGGTTTCTGATCCGTAGAGTAATATGGTGCGCACTGCAGCACTGTAAACTCGACCGTTGACGGATAAGCTGATGTCACGCCTACGCCACAGGTAATGCAGGTCCAAAAAAGCTGCTCTGACCTTCTCCATCCTTAACTCACTTCAACACCGTCCTTGAAATTGCAACAACCGGCCAAACTGGCCTGGTGACGGTTTTTATTCATGCTGAATGAACCCTATCTTTTTTTTGTTCACCGACTGACGACTGTCTAGGAATAAAACAGTCGCCAGGTGGTGAAGCGTAATCAGCTTCTCTTACATCCTTTTGATAATAAGGCGAAACCTGTTAAATTTTAGTTAAGTCGCTTTTGTGTCTTTTTGTGTTGTCAACGGACTTATTACTCGCATGCATGCAAGCGAATAACAGACTGATTAACGAATTCTAGCAATCGATAACGCTCTTTGAACACTGACTTCCACTATCCATTCTTTGTCATTTGCAAATCAGGATAACAAATCCGAGCTTTTGCTCCTTGCTTCAGGTGAAAAAAATACCCAGTGAGGTCTTTTGGTCGCATTGTCGACTTGTCAGGCTTCACACGCCGTATCGCTCCTAAGAGCAATTTGCACGTAATACTTCACCAGTATGGTGATCCACGTTCAGCCTGTTATGTGTACAAAATTTCAATTATCTGTACATCCGTGAGCATTCCAAATTACAGCGGTCATTCTTTTCTTCTGTGCGGGACGTGGGCATGGCAAATGCAAATTTGTCTTGAATGATCCCAGGCAAAGTGGAAGTCATTCTCTCTTAGGGTCACCAAGAAAGTTTTCAAAGCGGCAGTCAGCATTTTAGCAGATTTGTTTATCTTACGTTCGATGTAACCGCCACTTTTCTCTGAGGCTCTAAGATAGCCCAACAGACATCATCAGTCTGGAGCGGTTAGCCAATGCGAGTGGCTCCTTATACACCGGTTAGTAACAAACAAACACTGTGTAGTGTGATTTACCTCGAAGGCTAAGGCAGTAGAACGTTCGTAAAGGATAAATGACTTCTTGGGAAGCGTTATATCGGTTGAGCAATATGATGACATACGCTCTACAGTAAAAAGAACGGAACCAGGTGCCTTTGAGGATTTTGTAATCCAGAGCTCAGCTTGGTTCATGTTATACTGGTTGAAGTTGATCAGTGTGACGTATCTGGGGCCCAGGACCGACCATCGAATGTAACATATCCGGACAGCATTACGATAATATGGATTTTGGTAGGAAGTGTCCCCTAGAAAACTGGCTGATCGCGGTGTAGGAACCCGACCGACTGACCATCAGAGTCCTATTCACTCCTACTTGATGGCATTCTAAGAGTAGCTTGGCTTGTCAAGCTCCCCGTCTTAAATTTAAAGCACAATGCCCGCAATGGAAAACTAAAGTGGCTGTTCCGTCCTTAAAATATTCCTACTTCAGTCCAAATAAATTACACTAAATACTGACCGCACAATCACACCTCTCACTGACAATCTTTATCGCAGCTTCAGGTTTAATTCGGCCGCCAGTATCACCATACGACGCGTCGTTCTCTTGTAAAATTAAAATGTTGCCACTGCTACTACCAGAAGGGTGAAAAGGACAGGAGTTCATAACGTCTTAACCAAGCAGCATTAAGAAATAAGCAAGTGTTGTCCCTTACGGAACCAACCCATCATCCGCTACTCAAGAATCAAGGATCAGGAAGCAAGACGTGCCGGTTGTTCCTGATTAGGACGCGAGAACCGAAGTTCCACAATGTGGCTCAGGTGGCTTTATATTCGATAATCTAGCTGAAGACACGGATAGTCAGACCTCTGGTCAGTCCCACACGGTAAACGCAATTTAGACTTGCCCAACTGATTGCTTTCTTGGCTGTATGTAGAAGGCTATGTTCTTATTCCGTCGCCATGTGTATATCTTAATCTGGCTGTTGTATAAAAGAAGGTGGAGTGGTGCAGGTTTACATTTTTCACTTTTGACGGCAGGTCGCTTGTGGAAGGCGTAAAATTACAAACTCAATCTGGATTTCTTTGCNAATAAGAAGCAGTAGGGAAAGACGGACCAGATTGAAGCGAGCTTTTGAGGAATATGGAAGATTCAACGAGTTAACCAACTTGCACAAAAAACATTCATTAATGAAGGGAGATAAGTTTTCATGGTAATGGACAGTGTGCATGGAAGTGAAAAGGCTTTTATAGGATGGAAGACTATTCCAGCGTGAGAACCCAGTTGGGATAAAGTTAAAGATAAAGACGTGTTCACACTGAGCTAAAAATAATAAAAAGGTCTGAGGAAGGAAAGTTTACATATAGAGCCCTGAGTTGCTCAGTATGGAAACTATGACTACTATCCACATAGAAATGACTAGAATCAGCTATTGGTAAAGCGAACTGTAGAAGTTTTAATCGGGGTAGCCGAATGATACGAGATGCAGCGGCCATTCCAACGGCAATGACATGGCAGAGAACGTTTATTATCTTGAGCATAAAGCAATATTCTTGTTCAGTTTTTAGTG